GCGACAATTTTTCCAACAAAAGAGAATGAGAGACAGAGTCAAACGCTTTAGAAAAATCAAAAGACACACCGACACACTTCACACCAGCATTCCAGAAATTAGAAACAGTTGAAGATAAAAATAACAAGGCATCAAGAGTAGAATGTTTAGGACGAAAACCAAATTGCTTATTTACAAAGAAGGAATGTTTAGAGAGATGTGAGAAAAGAAAATTGTAAATTAAACGCTCAAACACTTTAGAAACAACAGGAAGAAGAGAAACAGGACGATAGTTAGAAATATCGGCAAGAGCGCCCTTTTTATGAATAGGAACAACGTATGCAATTTTCCAGAGAGCAGGAAAATTGCCCGAAGAAAGACACAGATGAAAAATGAAAGGTCTGCAGTGGCAGAGGGAGGAATTTGACTCTGAAGTTGGTTGCAGACACATGCTAGACACAATAAGACATTTTTGTGTCCGGACATATTGGAGGCACTTGTAAGACATATTAATGAAAACGATAACGCGCCATCAATAAATCGTCTGTCATGGTTTCCATAAGATTTTATTTGTCAAAAAAATTTCTTTCACAGCGTAACGCCTTTCTCAACAGCTACTGATTAACTAGCGCCATTGTTTCTTTTATTTATTTCCCAGAGTACAAGTGTCAATAAAAAACAGTTAAAAAATGTTGTTTGTTTACTTTAATACTTCAATGTTTATATCATATTATAATCGCAGCAAGAGTTAAGACAAACTTAGGACAAGTACAGACTACTCTTAACTTAAGCGTGGACTTAAGTCTAACTTAAGTTAAGTCTATGACTTAAGAAATTCTGTAAAGCACTCAAAATTAAGTCTAGCTTAACTTAAGACAAAACGGAGACTTAAGTATGACTTAACTCTAAGTCGAAGACTTAAGAATTTCTGTGAAACACCCCCCTGCTTAGAATTGGGCAAAGATCCCTATTAAGAGGTATCCTTGCAGTAAGGGTTCTGCGAATCGGAGATGAGCCTTACTTGTTATTTTTTTGGAAAAACAAGCGCTGCACGTAGAATTTTAGGCCTGTCAGCCATCTTGAATTTCTATTGGTCAGCATACAAAACGAATAAAACAGTTGTACGTGGAAATGAGCGCTTTTATAGTAGGTGCGTGATGATCGAAAAAAAACTGTAAAAGTCGAGAAAACCCCTCAATGTCCTGGGGTTTGAAGCAATTCTAAGCATAATGATAACAATCGCTTTCAATATCTCTTAGCGGGTTAAAAGGTACCCCGTCCTTATATGCTATTATCCGTAGCCAACTTTCTTTGTATTATCACAGTTGACTGCTATCCCCGGCCTACAGAAAACGTTTCCTTAGCTTTTTGTCGTTATGCATCAGTAGATATTTGAAATCATCTCTTTGAACAGATTCTCTCTTGTGGTTAAAACGAAATTTTTTATGTTTCTCGCTTATGATTGGCTTATCCATAGAATATCTGACGGCCATTTTTCCGTATTTTTTGCGCACACACACACACACACACACACACACACACACACACGCACACACACACACACACAGACAATCATTTTGTAAGACCCTAGACTAAAGTCAAGGGAAAATACTATAAATAATTAAATACAATATGTTCGTTTCATTTTATCTGGCATTTTGAAGCTTAGGTTTTCGATTTTATGATTTGTCTAAGCACGCGATCACTCTGAAAATTTGTAGAAGCACCTAACTCTCGATTTACTCTTCTTCGAAGACAGTTAGAAATAATTATCACAGCATTAATAGTAAACCTAAGATGATTTCAGAACTCTTTCGGCTTCCATCCATTCCTGTGGTAGAGCGCTTCTCTATGGAAATGGAAATCTTCAGGCAAGACAGAAATGATTATTGTCCCTATTCTTTTTAATGAAATTTTGAAATCTGTAAACGCATACTGTTTTTTCTTAAAAAATCTAAAAAAAGCGTCTGATAGACAAAGATGAGTAGTAAAGTAGCTCTATTTCTATCAGTTTTATCTTAGACACAAATATCTATACTCTCACCTTATAAAGAAATATTGAGAGAAAAGAAATTTAATATTAGCAATCTAAAGTTTTTGTGAGAAACAGCTGTATTTTCAAGATAGAAATCTTATTGGTACTCATGTTTTCTAGATTTGTTCTTAACCATGTCGTCGTGGAATAAGACAAGTAAAGTGGGTCAGCGTCCACATCGAGAGCGGTCACAAGTATGTAATAATCAAATGTTTATCGCCTATAAAATTTCCTCTTATTTACTTTCGTTATAGCCCGAAAATCGGCAGCATCTTGGATTATTAGAAAAGAAGAAAGATTATAAAAAACGTGCAGTGTATGTTCACTAGACTATATGAACTATTGCGAATCAGTATGGTCGATAATTTTTCGCTTATCAAACAAGAGTAGTAACAGAACGCCTAAAACAATTCCGTTTAGGAAGCTGTATAAAAGTTTCTCTTTAAAAGTTATTTTACATTGAACTAACAAGTCATATAAACTCATTATCCTGTATCTCAAAAACGGCGACAGCTATTAATTTGACGATTTCTATCGCTCTGTGCTTCTTGAATTTTCTCAGTACTTTCTACTTATTTATTACTAAAATGCAAATAACTTCTTAGCCAAGTAAGATAAACACTTCAGTTGTGCACCGAAATATAGCACTAACTGTTAGTTAAGTATAAATTCCGTGTTAGTCCGCCATTAGTTACTGTACAGTTCAGTTATTGTACTAGAAAAAGAGTCAAACAGCGACTGTACATCATAATCAAAGTTAGTTACTAGTTTTCGATGGTCATACTTTTATGAGTCATGCGCATACGTATAAGCCTAAAGAGAAGAAATTTTAGAAAAATTTTGCTGAATGGACAAAATAATCTTACTCGTGCAGATCTCTACCTGAAAGTTCCAAATTTATGTTTTTGAATTTAGTTAGGGACCCAAAATGTCTAGAGTAACCGACGATCATAAAATTGCTATAATCTTTCAACTAATGAAAGTTATCACGTAATATTTATAACTAGCTATATCTTCATGATGCACTACTGAGTGTTTATCTTATTTGGCTAAGAAGTTATTTGCATTTTAGTGATAAATAAGTAGAAAGTACTGAGAAAGTTCAAGAAACACAGAGCCGAAACTTGTTGGATGATTAGTATATTACTCAAGTTATATCTGCCAGAGGTAAAATGGATTCATATTTTCTTTTTAAACAAATCGATTAAGAAGGAAGGTAGCTTCAACTACACCGTTTACTCTATTTTTCACGATTTCTATGTTCTTTCATTATACATTTTTTTTGCTACTTTGACAACAAATCTAACAGACACTATACACAGAAAACATCAATGTAAAAAACAGAAAGTTTTCTATATTTTGAAAAAGTCATTTAAATCAAATCGATGCTACTTTCGATACAGCTTCTAATCAATAGCTATCATGGCTCTTGAGATACAGAATCATGGGATACTTGTGACAAATATTGCTACTTTCCCTGTTCTATTTAGTGATTTCCAAACAAAACAAAATGTAATAAAAGAATTGAAACGTAAAACATTAGATAAAAATCCAGAAGAATATTATTTTAATATGATTAATACACGATTGAAGGTAAGAATGTGTAGACTATGAATGTTGTACAATTTTTGTATTTTCTTCTGCCATTTTCAGAATGGCGTACATAGTTTGAAAAAGAAATATAAACATTATGACGATGATCAATTAAAATTAATGCAATCACAAGATTTACGTTATATCAAATATAAACATCAAATTGAACGAAAAAAAATAGAAAAACTACAAACGACAACACATTTAATTGACGAAAGTTATCGGCAACCAAAGTCACACATATTTTTTGTTGATTCAGAACGAGAATGTAATGTATAATCTTGTTGATGGGGTAAAACTAAAAGTCACAAGTTATTAGTTTGATGTTTGCGTTCAGTGAAGAAATTCGATCCTGTCAAACAATTAAAAACACATCCATTACTAATCAATCAAATATCAAATCGTTTAACGTTAGATCAATTGAAAACAATGAGTGATCTAAGTGAAAATATTGACGAAAAGGAACTAAATGTAAGTACATGTGCGTAGTTTGCCTCCATCGTATCGTTGATATCCAATATGTTAAGTTTTTATTTCTATTAAATCGATTTAGCTAATTATTTCTTGTTTTGCTCGTTGTTATTGTGTTTACTCCTATCCAAATATCAAAATGTTTCTCTTGAGCGAATAATTGCTGAAATATATATCATTAGACTCAACAACAACATTTCCGCTTGTATTCGATCAAGGTTTGAGAAAAGTTTTAAGTGCTCTTCCTACTTTCATGATGAATAAAGAGTTATTCATTATAAAACTAGGAAGAGTATTTAAAGCGTTTCTCAAACCTTACAATGACCTTCCTTTTAAACGTCAGTGAAGTATTCGATCAAGATGAGAGAAATAAAAAGTTGGTAGATAATTCGTATTTTCTGGCAAAAATGATGATTTCTATGGTAAAAAGAACTTATAGTTACATTATTTTTCATACAGAATTACCTATTATTCGGCTGTTTTAATTTGTACAATTTTGATTTTTGAGATTTCTTTTGTCAAACAGTGCAACAGCAACGCATATTATCAGTTAGTGTATACTACATGTTACTGTTTCTTCTCTCGTTTTAGAAATCACGAAAATCGCGAAAGAAAAAGTATGTTGAATTACAAAAACGTCTTGAACGTGAGAAAAAATTACGACAAGTTGAAACAACTATGGAAGAGAAAATCGTATTAAAAGTAAAAAGTTTTTTTAAGATTTCCCTTTCCCTTTTTTTGCTTACTTTGCTGTTTATTGCATATTGATTTTTATTTAGAATAAAAAAGAAGATGACGATGATTTGTTCTCCGGTGACGATGAAGATAAAGCGGAGAAAAAAGCGAAAAAACAAAGCAAAATTATTATTCCTAGGAAAAAGTAGTTCTATTTGTTCTGTTTTTTCTTTGTTATTTTTGATATTGTGGATCAATAAACATGTTTTCTTTTAATGTCTTTTATTTATTCGAACAATAACAGTATTTGTACAAAATATCCGACCAGGTTAATTCTTCCTCGGGACAAATACACTTATTACACCCCCCTCATATATCGACTATTTCAGTTTAAATAGCCTCTGCGGAGTTCACTGAGTGCATTCTTAACAGTCTCTGATCGATAGATCAAGGCATATATGAAT